AGTTGCTCCACTCTTCAGGAAAGATTGAGTGATCTTCGAAGTGTGAAAATATTTTCAACCATATCAAGGAAGATTTAGCTTACTGGCCTATCCTTATTAGCCCACCAAAGGGAGGCACTTTATTATTATACTTGGCTACCACCAAATCGGTCATCAACTTAATTCTCGTGTTTGAAGAAAAAGGATGCAACATCCTATTTACTTCATAAGCAAGACACTTCAACCATAAAAAAAAAAGTATAAAATCATAGAGAAATTGATATTAGCTATGTCCACTTAGCTCCAAGATTGTGACCCTACGTCAAGGGATTTCCCTATCATAGTGAAAAATAATTACCTGATCAAGCAAATCCTACAACGGCCCAATCTTGTTAAATTCATGAAAAAATGGTTTGTACAAATGTCCAAATTTGGACTTACTTACGGATGTAGGAGACTGATGAAAGCATAATTCCTTGCCAACTTCTTGGCCGAATTACCATCAATGGGAGAGCAACACGAGGTTTGGACTCTCAGTATTAATGACTCCTCCAACAAAAAGGGGGAGTAGAGCAGGAAAAATCTTAGAATGACCTAATGATGTAGTTGTCGAACAAGCGATAAGATTTAAATTGAGGCTTCAAACAACCAGGCCGAGGACGAAGCATTACTAGCCGGGTTATCTCTAGCAAAAAAAATGAGAGTCTAACAATTCTATTGCCGAAGTGATTCTCAACTCATGACCAACAAGATAAACGACAAATATTAGGCTAAAGAAAACATCATACAAAAATACCATTATATCTCCAAAAACATCATAAGGACATTTGATAAATTCGTTATACAACATGTATCACGAGAATAGAACGGTAGAGCAAACGTCTTATCAAAATTGGCCAGTACCAAGAAACTAGGATAACACCAGACTCTCCTTCTAAAAACATTATCGAGTCCGAGTTGGGATAAGGATGAAATCTTCCAGGTCAACACCGAACAATCCACGTGGATGACTCCCATAAAAAATTACATAGTCCATAATATACTACCAAATAACTAGGAAGAGGTAAAAAGATAAGAAGAATAGTCTCTTTATATATCATATACAATGGAGACCTTTATAAAAGGGGTATATTCACTCCTCTTCTGAAATGTTTAAACGATAAACAAGTTCACTATGTCATAGCCGAGCTTCATGAAGGAATCAGTGGTCTTCACTCGGGTGCAAAAAACATGGCAGCACGAATAGTTCGAGCTGGGTATTACTGACCCACAATGAGATAAGACGCCAAGAATTTTGTAAAGAAGTTCAAACAATGCCAACAATTTGCTCCAATATTCTCTTTATCTTTAGAATAAGTGCATAACATAGTCACCCCATGGCCCTTTGCCATTTAGGAAATGGACATAATCGACCCCTTCCCGATTGCTCGAGTATAGATGAAGTTTCTCATAGTAGTCATAGACTACTTCACCAAATGAATCGAAGCAAAACCTTTGGCCACCATAACAGCACAACAAGTACAAAAATTCGTATGAAAAATATCATTTGTCGACATGGTCTTCCACAAACACTTATCACCGATAATGGAAGACAGTTTGTAGATAAAAACTTAGAGCAGTTCTTCGACTAGCTCGACATACAATACAGAATATAATCCATCGAACACCCTCAGTCCAATGAACAGGACGAGACTGTTAATATGGTCATTCTCGGAGAATTAAAAAAAAAGTTGGGTAATGCCAAAGGACTATGGGCCGAGGAAATCTAGAGATATTATGTGGATATCACTGTACACCTCAATCCTCTACGGGAAAACCCCATTCAAGCTAACATATGGAACCGGCACCATGATTCCTATGGAGTTAGGAAAAAATATCATGGCGATGACAACAATTTAACGGACAAAGAACAAAGACAACCTATGTATTGAGTAGGACTTGATTGACGAGTTAAGGGTTTCAACTCACGTTTGAGAGGAAGCAATAAAAGAAAGAATAGCTCGGCGCAACAACTTTAGGGTAAGAAAAAGAAACTTCCAAAAAGGAGACCTAGTATGAAGAAAGGTCAGAGAAGCCCAGAAAGCACACAAAGAAGGAAAGTTAGCTCCTAATTGGGATGAACCATTTCACATCACCGACACTATAGAACCGTGCGTATAAATTACAAGAGTTGAACAGAAGGCTTGTCCCGCGAACTTGGAACGCAACACATCTAAAGTTGTATTACATTTAGTCACAACCTTACTCTGGTGTACGAGTATAGACGCATCACATAATATGAATGCCTCACACTTTACTCGGGGAGATGAGTATATATGTATCACACTTCACTCTTAATACGAGTTTTACATGTACTACGCCTTATTCGGAGATACGAGTATAAATAAATTATGTCTTACTCGGAGATACGAGTATAAATAAATTATGCCTTACTCGGGGATACAATTATAAATAAATCATGTCTTACTCGGAGATACAAGTATAAATAAATTATGTCTTACTCGGGTTACAAATATAACAATTACTCAAAAATATGAGTATAAAAAGCATTTTGATAATATGTGTATCGTACTCGGGAAAACAAGTATAAAACTTATGAAACCTGCATAGTAAAAGGCAACACATATGCTAAAACAAGTACTAAAAATGTTAAAAGTTATACCTCAATTCAAGAAATACAAAAAGTAAAATACTAATGTCGTTCTTACAAACTATCATGTTCTAACTCTCCATCACGAACATTTTAATGTCAAAATGAGCAACATCGAGTTCGAGGATGAATAAGACAAGTTGACGCACGACTTTCCCAAAGTCATCCTTATAACTATCTAATATATTATTTTTCAGCTCGATCAATTGGCTTACACCTAGAAGCATCCATCGTCAGAATATTTTCTAAAGACAGAGAGAAGGTGCACACTTCATCAGAACTACTTGTTAGTCCTAAAGTGCTTCACATTTCTCTCACAAATACAGAACTAGGTTTACTTCTATCAATATTAGACATAATGTAGAAGAAAAATGCACTATTGATGTAGAGGGTAGTTATAAGTGTGGGAAGAATGCGCAAATAAGAGAAGCAGAAAATTCAAAAGAGGAACAATGAGAGAAAATGCGAAATGAAAAGGTAATGAACAATTTTTTTAAATAATAGTAAAAATAATGTCTCTTCGTATTCTTATTATTTTATTAAGGTCGTCCATTAAGAGACCAAACATATAAGCTCGTTCAACCTTCCTCTTTCGAGCTTGAGGGACTTATATACCTACCTAGTCCAAAACTATTAAGTTGATTAACCATACTTACCGACGAAAATCTATTAAAGATACTACTTTTATTTATTTTGCTATTAATTATTTTTATTTTGTTATAATATTATATAATATTTTTTGAATATTATATAAAGAATCTAATCGGGGAGTAAAACTCAACTCATAACTCATTATTATATACATCAATCTTTTGTTTAAAAGCTAACTTGAATGTCGGAATGCCTTTAACAGGTGGGCTTCTGCTTTCTCCAAAATTGTCTTTAAAATTGGTTCGAAGATCGCTCAACCGACTTCGTCTTTTTAGAAATTATCTTCAAAGTTGATTTAAAGATAATCAACCGACTTCATCTTCTTGTCTTGTATATTATTTTTAGCTTGACGAACATCTAACCGACTAGCACTCAGTAAAAACAAAAACAATATTGTCTAATCTCAAACATGAACGAAAAACAAACACATATAGCTGCAGGAAAATTTGGCGCAAACGTTATCATGGCTTATTGCAACGAGTAATTTTTACTTCTTTTTTTAATCTTCCTTTTAACTTTTTTTGTTTTTGTTTTATGGTATCTGCTTTTTATGAGTTGCTTCTCAAAATAAAGTAAAATAAGTTTTGTAATTAAGTTTATGGAAACATGTAAAAAATTATAACTAATAGTTATTTTTTTATTAATAATAAATTCTTAAATTTGTTTTATCAAACATATCCATTAAATGCCAATAATCTAATAATATATTTGTAAAAAAAAAAACAAAAATCAACCCCACAAATCTAAGACTCTAAGCTAACAAAAAAGAAAGTGTAAAAAAAAATTATTTTAAAAAATAATAAATAATTAAATTAAAATTAAATATTTATTTAATTATAAATATACTTATTTAATTATTAACTAATTTTTATTAATAAAATATATTTCATTTTTTTAATAATATATATTTTGATATATAATTATAAAATATTTTTATTACAAAATTATTTAGTTTCTAAAATTATTTAAAATTAAATTAATCATATTACAAACATATAATAAAATATAAAATTATTCAATTGATTTTCATAATATTTTCATATTTATGATATTTTATCAAAATAATAATTAAAATTATATATATATATATATATACATATTGATATTTTATCAAAATAATAATTAAAATTATATATATATATACATATTAAAATTATAAATATAAAAACAATAATTATTTATTAAAGAAAATATAATTTTATAAAATAATATTTTTTTAATATTTTTCAGGAAGAAAATAATGAAGAAAAAAAATACATATTTGTTATAAAAAGTACTGATATTTTCTCTTCTTATATTAACTTCTTTTTATGTTCGTTATATTGAAAAGTGATATTTTCGTTGTTTTTTATTATTATTATTGAATAATAAAAATAATTATTTTTTATTTATTTTCTTACATTAACATTTTTGACTTGGTAGTTTTGCTTTTGAAAATGAAAGCACGACGCTATCTTCCCATTGGTGTGTGGAAAGTACTAAGAAATTTAAAGGAAAAATCTTAGGCACCAAATTCAGAGAGTAGCCTTTACCGTACGTACAATAATTGTTTATGAGATTTAAGACCAAAACTTTGCACGTTACTTCTCCATGAAGTAGTCTTCGATCTTAGTGAGCTTTTAAGGAGACCAAGACTTCACCCATTGTCACCTATCTCACACTTTGCTCCTCAGTACTTGTTTTGTGAAGTGAGAGATATCATTAGGGTAGAGGTGCCCTTATGGAGATGACACCCAAGGAACACATTGCGAGGATTCGAAGGACCAAATTCTCCATTGGAGGGGAACTAAACCCTCTGCGTGAGGACTTGCACCAGGCCACAAAGAACCTCTCCACTGAACTTTATGCCAAAGATGTTCATTTCCTCATGGAACTCATTCAAGTAATCACTTCCCTTCCACCATCATTTTTTCTTTCACTTCTTTTCTTTAGGTTTCAACATTCTAAAAATTTTGTAATTTATTTATATATTTATAATTATTATTATTGCATTGCATTTTTTACTATTATTATTATTATATTATGTATTAAGAATGGGACATATTTATAGATGGAAGAATGAAATAATTAAATAGATATTCTAATACATTTATGGTTTGGATTTAATTATATAGATTTTATTACTCAACTATAATTATTTTATAAATTTGCAAAAAAAAGTGATAATGTTGTAAATTTTACTTTTTAATGTATTTTATTATCATATTTTAAAAATTTTGCACATTTTAATAATCTATTGAATATTTAATAGTAGTGTGTTCTAGTGTCATACAAAAGTCAAAAGGTATTGTACGGACAATTCTATATATTTTGTCTTTTTCTTCTTTTATCATCTCATTCCAATTACAAAGGACCATTTATTATCATCAAGAAATATGGTTAGTTTTTTCATTTTGTTTTAAAAAATATTATAGGATAATTTTTAATTTCAAGCATAATCAAAATTAAGAGAAATAAGAAGAAAATAAATATATAAAATGAGTTAGTCAATTAACTTTTTCTAAAAAAAAATAAGAGAAATAATTAAAGTTAATTTTTTCATAAACTGAAATTAATTTATATATAAACTATTTTATAAAAAAATTCATATAATTTAAAAAAAAAAATTATTTGTAATTTGTCTATAAAGTATTTTAAATTTTATTTTATTCTAAAAGGATTAATAAAAAAGGTTCATCCAAATCTATGTATAAGTTAAAAATAAGAATATAAAAATATATATGGTAAAACATTTACCTATTCAAAAATTAATTTTAGTATAAGGAGAAATTCATTTCGTTTTTTTTCTTATATATATATATATATATATATTGATGATGTAATAATGGATGCATTGCTTTTATACAATGTTTTGGATACCGTACTCGATTGAGTGTTTGGTTGTAATAGACACTTTATACGGAGAGAAATTAATATTAATTGATATTCTAATAGATTTATGATTTAAGCTTAAATGTATATTTTGTTACTTTGCAAATTTAATTATATAAGTTTCCTTCATGTATTTTACTATATGTTTCTTCATATTTTACAAAATCTGTTAACATGTCATAAGAAAAATTGAAAAATAATATTATGATGAAAAGTGATATTGTTTTACAAAAAATTGTTTCAAATTATTTTTTTTTCTCTTTGTGATACCGTATACAGGTAAATATTTGTTGGCTTAATAAAATACCAAACGATGGCCCAAAAAACAACTTTGATAATGAAATTTACAAAATAATTATCATTAGATCTCTAAATTTAATGATGACGATCACTTTTTTTCAATAAGGATATGGTTTAAAAATAAGAGTTTGATATTACAAATTTACAACTAAGCTTTGTACTTCATAAGCCAAAATTATATTCAGAGTTGTTGTGCAAAAGTGATTATCTCAATTATGTTTAAAGGCTGCAAGGGTTAGCAGTAGGAAAAATTGTACTGCTGAAACCTTTGTATATGTTTAGCAGTAAATGAAATGAGAGGGGAAAAAACGAAACTTTTCTGCTGATGATAATGTGTAGCCTTCACTGATACCCTTAACAAGAATGATGCAATGTTATCATTCAACAACAGTGACTAATTCACCATCACAAATATCTTGTCACATTCACAGAATGCAGAAGATAACAAGTATGCTGAAGGAGTGAATCCATCACTTGAGTTCATCATAACTTCTAAGGATATAACAGCTACTGGTGTTCCAGCCACTTTACTAATCTTCAACAATGAAAACGGTTTCTCTCCTGAAAACATTGAATCTATCTGCAGTGTTGGAAAGTCCACAAAGAAAGGCAACAGAAGTAGTGGTTACATTGGTGAAAAAGGTACATTCTCACTCCTAAATGTATCAACAAGAAGCTTTAGTGGTTAGGTTACAAGAATGCCATTGGCATGCATTAATGTGCTTGCTTTCTATAAAATTGACTAAATAATTTTGTATTTTAAATTCATGGATCAATAGTATTGTACGTACTTGCATGCATATAAATAGCCTGAATCAATTCATTGTCTAGTAATTTGATTTTGTGAAGATAATGTCTGTGACTGTTATATCAAAGAAAACATAATAAAGGCTAATTTCGCAATGCTTTCGCGAATCAGACTCTGTTTCTTATGCATAACTGATGCATTGCATTTCACATCATCCATTTAGCCTGGAAAAATAACATATTTGCACTTAGGACTTAACCTTCATGGATTTTTATAGTTCTTCTATTGTTTGTGGAACCGATTATGCTTTTGGATATACTTGTATTTTAGGAACAGCTTTTGAGTTAGCATATGGGACTGTGTTTCTTATGCATACCATTGTTCCCAAAATTTAAACATGTGTTATTCGATAAAGTGTTCTGTATCCTTTGAAAGGCCATGTTGATACAAATAGGATGATTCATATAATACTTCTTGCTTTTAAATGAAGGAAAAAAGAACAATGCATTAAAGGAGTCGTGTGAAACAAAATGATGCAAATGTTTGACAAAATATCTCCTTTGATTGAATTGCAGGAATTGGTTTCAAGAGTGTATTTCTGCTCACTACTTATCCTTATATATTTAGCAATGGATATCAGATACGGTTCAGTGAGAAACCTTGTCCACACTGTGACATTGGGTATATAGTTCCTCAATGGGTTGAGGAGAAGCCAACCCTTCATGACATAAAGCAGATATATGGTGCTGCTGCTTGTTCCCTTCCAACTACCACAATTATCTTACCTTTAAAGCCAGACAAGGTCAATCCTGTGAAGCAGCAGCTCTCAAGCATTCATCCAGAAGTTATGTTGTTCCTTTCAAAAATCAGACATCTGTCTGTAAGGGAAGATAATGATGACCCCAAGCTGAATACTGTGAATGCTGTATCCATTTCAAGCGAGATTAACTTCTGCACGAGGAAAAACATTAATGCTGAATCCTACACACTTCATCTCTCTGCTAAAGAAAATGGTGGTTCTGAAAAGGAATGCAGCTACTACATGTGGAGGCAGAAGTTTCCTGTGAAGTTGGAAAATGTGGTGGAAAGGAGGGAGGATGTGGAGGAGTGGATTGTAACATTAGCCTTCCCAAATCAGGAGAGGCTTCATAGGGGAAGGAGCTTACCAGGAGTCTATGCATATCTTCCTACAGAAATGGTAACAAATTTTCCCTTTATAATTCAAGCAGATTTTGTGCTGGCTTCATCAAGGGAGACAATTCTCTTGGACAATAAGTGGAACCAAGGGATACTTGATTGTGTTCCATCAGCTTTTATGGATGCATTTAGAACGCTTGTCATAGGAAGATCAGACGAAGCTCCAATATCCAGTTTGCCACCCATCTTCAGGTTCCTTCCCATTGATAGTTCTCCTTTTGAAAAGTTAAATCATATGAGGGAGAAGATCAAACAAAAGGTGCTTGGAGAAAGCATTATTCCTATTGAGACATACAAGAAGCAGAAGCACTTCTATAAGCCGTGTGAAGTTAGCAGGCTATTGCCCGAATTCTGGGACATTTTGGCTAAGGCTCAGGAAGAAAGAGTATACCTGCATAACCTTTCATCTCACAATGAAAAGAAAATCTTGAGTTCTTCATTTGATAAAAGTGAGTATGATCACATTCTCGGATTTTTAGAGGTACAACAAGTCAGCACTGATTGGTATGCAAAGTGCATCCAGAGTTCTAATCTTGTGGATGGAGTATCAGAAGTTATTTATCTGAAGCTTTTACTGTTTATTGCTACAAACTGGTCAATATTTAAAGGCTCCAATATGATGGACATTCCATTAATTAAGTATGTGGATTCTGATGATAATCTGTCCCATTTCACTCTTGGTCAATGCAGCAACAGCCATGCCAAGCAAGTAGTCCTAGCAGATTCAAGTCAGTCTTGCCCTTGTTCTTGGATGATTGATTGGAACAGCAAATTTTCATGTAAAACCTCCCGATTCTTTATGCCAGAAGTCACACAGCAAGCTATCTTACATTCACCCCGCAGGCAGACATTGTTGGAATGGTTAGAAAATCGAGTTCGTGTCACTACTTTGAAGGTGTACACTTTTGCACAAGTCCTCTGTAATTCTATAAATTTCAACTCCAAGCTTGCCATTAAATATGCCCATTTCTTATATCACTCTTTCTCAAATGGATACTTATCAAGAAGTGAGGTTCAAGGTTTGTGTAGTTCCATGCCACTTGTGGACAACTATGGAAATGTTACTGTGTACAGAAAAGGGGTTCTTGTGCCTGCAAACGTGAGCAAATGGGCAGACTTGATTGTATCTAATCCATGGAGAAATGAGGATTATGTCGAGCTTGGAAAGGAGTACTTGCTTCCATTCGATTGTGCTGACAAATATACAGGTTACGGGAAGCTCATAGAATTCCTGAAAAATCATGTTGGTGCTTCTGATATACCTGATATATATCCTCCAAATGCTGGGTTTTCGGCTGTAGAAACACCACTTATCAAAGGCAATGCCTTTTTGCTTTTGGATTGGATTCGAAACCTGAAGGTTAGGGGTGTGAATCTGCCAGGGAGGTTCTTGAAATGCATAAAGGAAGGAAGCTGGCTTAAAGTTACAGCCAATGAATGGAGACCACCTTCAAAGTCATTCTTAATTGGCTCATCATTAGGAAGAATTTTGCAAAGTGGTTCTGCTCTTGTTGACATTCCACTGATTGATGAGGACTTCTATGGAAATAAAATATTTGAGTACAAGGATGAGTTGAAAACAATTGGGGTGATGTTCAGTTGTGAGGAAGCATGTGAATTCATTGGAAGAGAACTGATGTCGCGTGCAGCTTTCTCAACTTTAAGCAGGAATCATATTCTTTTGATGTTTGACTTCATCCAATATCTGAGGAAAAATTATCTTCCCTTGGAAGAGTTTGTCAACAGCATCAGAGAGGGAAGTTGGCTACGGACATCTCATGGTCTAAGGTCTCCTATAGGATCTGTATTGTATGATTCGGGATGGCAAGTTGCATCTCAAATTAGTTCTATCCCTTTCATTCATAACGATTATTTTGGTGAGGACATATATAAATATAAAGAGGTGCTCGAGTTGCTGGGTGTGGAAGTTGGTTTCAATGACAAGTATCAAGTTGTCATTGACCATTTAAAGCCACCCTCAGATTTGGTCAATTTGACAGCTGAGGCTGTTCTTTTGATAATGGAATGTATAGAATTCTCGCGTGGCTCTAGTGAACTCATAAATCCACTCAAGGAAACAAGCTTCTTGAAGACAAACATGGGTTTCAAAACTCCAGGTGAATGTTTCTTGCATGATCCTCTATGGGGCTGCATTTTGGAGGTATTCAATGGTCTTCCTGTATTAGATCATAAATTCTATGGAGATAAAATTTTCAGTTACAAGGATGAATTGAAGAAAATAGGGGTGGTGGTTGACTTTGAGGAGGCTATCGAAAAATTTGCTCATCTCTTCAAACAGAAGGCATCACAAGCTTCCATTAACCAACACCATGTTATATCATTTCTTTCATGTTGCAGATTGCTGAAGGGAACTGATTACAAATTCCCTCCGAAATTCTCTATCATCATACACAGTGAGAAGTGGTTGCAAACTGGGGTTGGTGGTTATAGGTGTCCAAGAAAATGCATTTTATATGGTCCAGAGTGGAAAGCTCTCTCTTCAATAGCTCGTCTCCCTTTCATTGATGACAGTGACAAATGCTATGGTGAAGAAATACATGAATACAAGGAAGAGCTGAAGAGCATCGGTGTTGTTACTGAAGTAAAACATGGGGCGAAGTTTGTGACTAAATGTTTGAACTTTCCTTCAGATCCCTCCATTATTACTCCTGAAAGTGCTTTTTCTTTGCTGGACTGCATCCGTCTTCAAATGCAAGGGGGTGTTTTCACCATTAAAGACGACTTCAAAACAAGATTGTCTAGAAATTGGTTGAAAACACATGTTGGTTATAGGTCTCCAGATAAGTGTTTGTTGTTTGATTCCAAGTGGAATAAGTACCTCAAGCCAACAGATGGGCCTTTCATTGATGAGAATTTTTATGGACCTGAAATTGCATCTTACAAGAAAGAACTCAATGCAATCGGAGTCACCATTGACGTTGAGAAAGGATGCCCCTTGGTTGCTAGTCACCTTGGATTTCTCTCTGATTATGACACCATTGTGAAAATATATGGGTACATCATTTTTCTCTCAAGAAGATTATTCCCTTTTTCTCTCCTCATTCCAATATTTTATGCTTATGATGATATCTATGATACATTCTGTCTGATTATTACAACCTTGTGCATTTCTATAGGTACTTGAGTGAACACAAGTGGAAATTTGAGGATAAAGCTGCCAGAAAAATTTGGATTCCAGAAAGTGAAGAGTGGATCGATTCTGAACTATGTGTCTTACATGACCAGGATAATCTTTTTGGTTCAAAATTTTATGTTTTGGATGGTGTGTATGATGAGAATATTCTTCTATTTTTCTCCTTTGCCATGGAAGTCCGGAACAGGCCCTCCCTTAATGATTATATCAATCTTTGGAATAACTGGCAGAGTTCAGGGGAACAGTTGTCATATGACAAGTGCTCTAAGTTCTGGATGTTTGTGTTGAAACATTTGACCACAAGATCAGAGAAGAAACTTGCCAAAAGCTTGGTGAAACTACCTGCAACATCAGGCAACAACGAAATAGTTTTGTTAGATAAGAATGATGTTTTCATTCCTGATAACCTTCATCTGAAGAAACTTTTTGGGCAGGAGAAAGTCTTTGTCTGGTATCCTCAGAACTTGGCCCCATTGACCAGGTGTGAGCTGTTTGACATATACAGAAAAGTTGGTGCCCGAAATATCTCTGAATCAATATGTATGGAAGAGCCATCCTTGCTCGATGGTGTTGAACTCAAACAGGTTGATCCTGGTAATATTTGTAATGTGAAGGTGTTGGCTAAGCTTATTCTTGGTTTTCTTTCTTGTTCTAGCCTAAAAATGGAATCAAACAAGAGGCATGAAGCTGTTCAAGATCTACTCAACTTGAGTTTCTTTGAGACAAAGGGTCCAGTCACTGCAAGTTACAAATTGTCACTATCATCAGGGGGCATCATTACCAAAATGGCAAACAGAATGGTACGGTGGCAAAGGCAAAGTTCCAAGTTTTTCACCCAAATGAACTGGCAAAGTGAAGATGCAAGTTTAATAAAATATGCTACATATTTCTCGGAAACCATATCAGAGGGTGTTTTGCGAGAGAATCTTGATCATGTTCCTGAACTTTCTAAGCTCATCAGATTGGCTTTTCTGCTGAAATTCAACAGTGGGGAAATTGAATTTCTTATGGAGTCCAACAACTTGCACTGTGAGGATGAGGACTTCCTCAGTTCTTCCTTCCCATCTAACTAACCTTCTTCTCCATAGTTTTTAAATGTTTTAGTGGAGGCTTGTATGTTGCTACTGCTATATACTATGCATATGCCTGTTCATAAATTATGTTGTTGAGGTTTTCTTACCTTGTCAGTCAGTGGTGTGTGACTTAATGAACAAAAGTAAAGTTTGGTATTGGCTTTTAAGATTGGAAGAAATTTTAGTTATTCAATTGCATGTTAAATGCTTTGTTGGCTGAATATTATGTGTCCTAAGTCTCTACTTTTCGTCTATGGACATTTGGTGTTGGTGGGAATCATGATCCAGATTCAGTTAATATATATATATATATATATATATATATATATATATATATATATATATATATATATATATATATATATATATACTCTAAGGTTTTAGGGATAATCATAAAAATTTAATCGATTGATCAGATCCAGTATATATTCAATCTATTATCAATTGATGAATATTTACGAAGCTTTTTAGGTTGAATATCTGATGAATATGCTGGGTTTTGAGTTTTTGAAAATATATCTTGACAATATTTTATTTTTTCATAAATTAAAATAATAATTTAATTTAATGTCTTTCTCTTTCTCTATCGTGTGTGTAATATATATATATATATATATATATATATATATATATATATATATATATATAATTACATCTCTGTTTAATATGACATTCTTTTTAATTAAATTAGATATTAAAATATTTTTATATTATTTAGAATAAGAAATAATTAAAATATCAATATCAGGATAACTTCGTATTGGATCTTTTGAAATCCTAATCTTAAGAAATGATGATTAGTTATATTGTACGATCAAGCCGTATACGACCTTTTTTAACAAATAAACTTTATCCTCCTAACTTTAGGTTGCTCAACATAAATCTTTTTTTCTAAAAAAAACCAATGAATCATCTTGAAGATTTACTAGAATTTTCTTAACAATTCTAAAACCAATAAAATAGCAACCTTATTTTAATGCTCAATAATTTGTCTAAATGTTCTTTGATTGTCTCCTACCCTTTCATCCTTTACAACTTCCACTTTCATCGGGTTTTTTTCCTTATGACTCTTCATCTAGGCCATGGTGGAAGAAAATCATAATCCTTTTCCCATAGATCAAATGATTTCAAGTAAGATTCCATTTGTACTGCCCATAGATCATAATTTTTCCCATCAAAGACTAAGAGCAGTATGGGAAAACTTGTTTAAGACTCCATGATTGTGTAAAACACAAAGGTCCCTCGAAAAAGAGCTCGTATACCAACAGTTGGTTTTAGAAAACAGGTAGTTTCTAATAGAGAGAGGAACAAAGTGAAGGAGCATTATCATGACGAAGGAACAGAGTTTTACATAAAGTACTCACTCAAGCATTTTATTATCTTAATGCAACTTAATTTAAATATATTAAAAAATAACAGACTAAGAGATAATTATAAGTGTAAGAATTAATGGTTGAGTTCATGAGGAGGGTGAATTGAAATTTGAAACATTTTTCAATTAATGATTTTCCTTTGAAAGAAGGAGTAATCTTTATTCAATCTTTTATTAAGCAGATTCGGTTTTTAACAAAGTAAGAATATGAAACAGGAATGAAAAGAGAAAAATGCAGAAATATAACACAAGAGGTTTTATACTGATTCACTATTTGTAAGAGCTATATCCAGTTCTTGACAAACCTGTCAAGTTCTACTAAAAACAAGTGAAGATACAAACCAGTATATACAAACCAATTTATCCCAAAATCTACCTTGCAACACCACAAGATAGACTCTTGAAAAAACCACCCAGCAACCAAACCCAGAGTTACTGTAACCAGTGCAGATTCAAACACAATCTACACAATCAAAATTCGTATAGAGAATTGAAAAGATAAACCTGGATAGTAGCTTTTGTAATACAGAAGTCCAGAAACAAATTTTCTAACACATAACTTCCTCTCTTGAAGATCTTTCAACAATCTTGATCAAAGCATCTTATGATATGAATGTGTATGAATGCTCAGAGAAAAACAAGAATATCAGAGCTCAAAGATTGCTTTAATCGATTTTCAAATTGTGTGTTATAAAAGAGAAATCAAAATTATATTTATAGAGAAAAAAAGAAAAACTGACAATTTTAATCGATTAAAAATGATACTTTAATCGATTGATTTCATTTAAAACTATTTTAATCGATTAATTTGACCTTTTAATGGATTAAAACTGCTAGAAGGAGCAAAGACTAATCTTAAGAAATGATGATTAGTTATATTGTACCATCAAGCCGTATACGACCTTTTTTAACAAATAAACTTTATCCTATTTTAATCGATTGATTTCATTTAAAACTATTTAAAAATGATACTTTAATCGATTAACCAGTCGATGCTAGCGAGCTTGCATAGCATATGTCATTTCCATGTGGCACTTTTGATTAGTTTGAATTTCATTTATTTGGTGCAACATAGTCCTTTCAAACTGTGAAAGAGGGGTGCCACGATCAGGTGGAGCCACATATGGAATCATGTCTAATGGAGACTGTTGAGCCACAACATCTTCCATGGGATCTGCTTGTCTTGGTTCAGTGGCACTTGGAGCACCAGTGCCCTCTTCTTCTTCTTCCTCTTCTTCTTCTATATTGTCATCCTCTTGATCTTTCCCAGCTTCCTCTTTTGAGATCCAGTCACCATCAATCTTTGGGAACCCTATTTTATGAAGGATTGAATTGTTAACCTCATTTGTGGAGAGTACAACTTCAGAAAGTTCCCCTTCTAAATCAACACCAAAGTGAGTGAGAAATTTAGAAATTAAAATAGCATAGGGATACCTAAAGTCACTTAGCCTCTTTGCTTTGAGCATATGGTCTTTGACAACAAATACTCAATTCACTCTAATTCTGTGGTGGATATAGTACATGAGAACCAGGTCACCTTCATTCAGCAGTGCATGATTGCTCCCCCTGGGAGTAAGCTGCCAGGCCACTATGAATGCAAGCAACATTTCTTCAAGTTTAAGCTTCCCAGTATTGAAGGAACTCACAGAGTCGCGCTTATTCTTCAGGCAGGAACGAAAATACTGCACTTTGTTGAACTCTTCTACAACATTAGTGTATCCTTTAGAGACTTTGACCCCTTCATTTTTTAGGCCAACGACATTGTTCCAGATAGTGGGAGTAACCTCAATGTCCACTCCTTTGACTTGAGATTTAAGAGTGGAACCTTCAAAGGACAAGTTAGTAAAGAAAACTTTGATTAGATCAGGATAGATTGTACTGTTGAGTTCCAAGAAGCTCTGAAGTTTCTGGTGTTGCAGTAGTTTTCGCAACCCTTTGAATCTTTCAGCATCCAACCAAGAGAATTTCAATATTGTGGGGAGATTGATCTATTTCCTGCTCATTTCATGAATGAACAAACCCATTTTCTCTTCGTTCCCATTGAACCAAGTTTCAATGAGCCCTCCTCCTGATATTTCTTGAGTAGCTGCTAAGGATTCACCTCTGCTGAACTTCTTTCTTCCAGATTTGGAGCACTTGAACATGGTGATTGAGAAAGTGAACCAAGTACCTTGCCAAGAGTGAACACAAGGTTTTCGAACAACAAAGTAATGATCCAAAATAACATAAATGCTAGGGTTCTAACTCTTGAGCACTTCGAATAGTTAAATTTGTTGTGTAGTGAGATACGTCAGCTTGTTCCCTATGTCAGAAATAGAAAAGACAAAAAAGAAATAATGGGTGCAGAAATTTAATCCTTTAGTTGCATCAGTTAAAATATTTTAACTGATATTGACCAGTCAAAATTTCTTCACTTTTTGATCTCCAATCACAAGTGGCCAGCGTGAATTACTGACGTAATTGGATATGTATCACATTTAAGAGGGTAGTTGAAGCAGTAAAAGGATTTTGTGGTGTAAATGCAATTAATTCAACCTGCAATAAATAATCAGAACCATACAATACTAACCCCAGGAAATTAATCAATTATTTTACTATATAATAGATTAATTTCACTTATTGTGATAGAAGCATATATCAAAAGCAAAATGAATCGATTAAATCGAAAATTTAATCGATTAATTCAAAAGAAAAACATGCAGAGCAAGAAAAATTTAATAAAATAAACTGATTAAAAACATATTTAATTGATTAATCTGGCAGTGAATCAAGAACAAATACTGAAAACCAGGAAATTAACAAATTATTTCACAAGTTTAATCGATTAAAAGCACACAGTTTGAAAATATTCCAAAATTTTCAGAAAAAAGAATCGATTAATCATAATATTAATCTGTTAAAAAGCACAGAACCAGAATGGAGAAACAATTATACAATACTAGATAGATCCATAATTCCTAATTCAGTTCTAAGCATATTAAGTCTATCTCTAGGCAGTGGTTTGGTGAACAAGTCAGCCAATTGTTTATCAGTATCAATGAATAAAATTTCACAATCACCCTAGAAACATGATCTCTAATAAAGTGATGTCTAATTTCAATATGCTTAGTTCTAGAGTGTTGAATAAGATTTTTAGTTAGATTTATTGCACTAGTATTATCACAAACTAGAGGTACCGTCTTGAGAAACACCCCATAATCCTTCAATTGCTGTTTGAGGTAGATACTCTGGGCACAACAGCTTCCAACTGCAATGTATTCAACTTCTACAGTTGAAAGAGCCACACACACTTGTTTTTTGTTGTGCCATGATAGGAGGTTGCTCCCTAGTAAATGATATGAACCAGAGGTACTTTTTCTATCCAATCTACAACCAGCAAAGTCAGAATAAGAAAATCCAATAAGTTTAAGAGAAGTACCTTCAGGATACCATAGACCAACATAGATGGTTCCTTTAAGATACTTGAGAATCCTTTTAGCAGTAGTGAAGTGAGATTCCTTTGGATTTGCCTAGGATTTAGCACAAAGGCAAACACTGAACATAATGTCAGGCCTACTAGCACTAAGGTATAGAAGAGATCCAATCATACCTCTATATTTAGTTTGATCAACAAATATCCCCTTTTCAT